TTTTATTGGTCTTGCTATTCTTAGAAAATCTAGCATGATAGCACTCTACTCTCTGCAGACGATATGGTTCAATCTTCTATCAACATACAGCTTCCTCTTTCCGTCTTTCCCAGCTAAGCCAAAACTTCTGCAATTATTCAGGTGTAATGATAATTGCAACTAATGTTTATTCATAGCAATGCCTATGATATAATTCTCAATTTTGTCTTTCTATTAACTCATCACAATGACAATCGTCATTAAGTACTCTGAACTCAAATTGAACTCTCATCTACCAAAGTAAACCACCAGCATCCTGCTAGGTGAGGTGCCATCTATGTTTTCTATTTCTTAGAACAGCCCCTCAAACAGTTTTATCCTTAAGCCATTTAATTTCAGTGTGATGCCATCAGGATGGAAAGCACTGCTGTCAAGCTGTGATCATCTAATCCTGACCAGTACATACTGCGGGGGAAAGATGCCACAATACAGATCAGCCTCCCAAAGGTGTGTTCTCAGGACACTAACCTTTTAGGTGTTCCTTAAGAATGTTGTCAAATAATTGTAGATAATGTTACCCTCAAGTGATTCTATTGCCCAGTATCACATAAAAAGTTCTGAGAAATCCTATAGTCAAGAAATCTTTCTGGGCCGGCCCGGTGGCACACTGCTACAGTGCGCTGCTTGGGAGTGCGACAGCGCTCCGCCGAGGGTTCGGATCCCACATACAGACCGGTTCCCACTCACTGGCTGAGCGAGGTGTGGGCGCAACACCGAGGGTTGCGATCCCGTTGCCGGTCCCGGTCCGGTGCGGGCGCGACACTGAGGGTTGTGATCCGTTGCCGGACACGAAAAAAGACAAAAAAAGAAAAAAAAAAGGAAAAGAAATCTTTCTTCATTTCACAAACATTTGTTCAGCACCAGGGACTGTTCTAGGTGTCAGGGATACAGGCATCAATAAAACTGCAGTCCCTGATCTCAAAGAACTTCATTCTGCTTGTTTCAGCTGTGGTTTGTGGTGCTTAGGTTCTAGTTCCATTTGAAACACTTTTACACCTCTCTGTGCTGTGGTCAATTAGCCACTTGGATAAGGGAATCTGTAGATGAGATCAAGGTTAGAGATAAAATTGGGAATCATAGCACATGGATTTAAAACCTGAGTCTGAGGCCAAGGAGACTGTGTTAGAGAAGAGAGGGGGCTTACAAAAGAGCTCTGGTCCACCAACTTTCTGAGGTTGAGGGGAGGAGAAGCCAGCAAAGAAGCCTGAGAAAGCTGACCAGTGAGGCAGGAACACAATCGGGAGAACGTGGAGTCCCAGAAGGCAAGAGAGGAAACCTGCTTACTTCATTCATCCCAGAACACTCTGATTCTCCATCCTGGTCTTCCAGTGTGTTTTATGCTTCATGGAATTCGTCTAAGACTTAGGTACGCTTTTAGCTGGAAGAATCAAGATGGAATCTGTGTTGTCGCCATAGTCATCTGAGTTACCAGGGGGAAAAGCCCACTTTATTTTTTTAAATTATGTGTATGTGTATATATGTATATGAGTGTGTGTGTGTGTGTGTGTGTGTGTGTATTTGGGGTGGGCAGGGGTTCAGGCTTGAGCATTGATCACTTTATTTTTGACCTGACCACTGTTATAACCTACAAGCATGAAGCACTGATCCCACCATATGCTGGGGTCTGTGTCAGGCTGGGTTTTAGGTGGAGATCTGCCATTGTCAACAGAGAGGAGAAACGAGGCTGGTTTTCCTAGGAATTGTGGGTTAAGTCTGCTTAGAAAACAAATGTACGACTGAACTTCTGGACAACAGCAGTGATGGTTTAAGATTCTGCAGAGTGTGTGCCACCACTTATTCACTTTGTCATAGTGAACATCTATTGAGGTTCTCAAATATGCATAGATTACAATGCCAGAGGCAGTGACAGTACAGAGATGAATAGAATGTGCGTCTAGCCATTACGGAGCTTATGTAACCCACCTCTAAGGATAAGAAAATATTAAAAGGTTAAAAAGTGCTCAGAGGCTTGGGATGAGAACTTAAATTGTCTTTGATTCCTGTCAACTTATCTATCAAAAGGAAAGACTGTGACGTGTGGGATAGCAAAGGTCTCCTGAGAGAAGGTTACTTTGTTTCTGAGGTGGCCGTGTGGACAGGAGTGGTTCCATCCATGGCCGTTCTGGAAGGAAACCAGACGCTGCCCACCCAGAGCCTCAGAGCAGATAAAGAGTGAGACTGTGCGGATTAGACCAGGTAAGAGACATATGATGGTCAGCATGACCAGAGCGACCAGCCACACTACACACTGCTTGGTGGCATTGCTGGTGCAGTGACTGAGCAGCCAGAAGGAGGAATTAGACAACCAGGTGACTTGAGACCTGCCCCCAGAAAGCCAGCCAAAGAGAAAGTGCAGCCTGGAGAGCACATACGTGATAAAGCACAACAAAGGGAGTATGAGAGAAACTGAGTCAGCCCAGGCCAGGACAACCCACAAAAAGAGGAAAGAGCTTAGATGGGAAACCTCATACATCCCCTGAAAAAACCCATCAATCCATATTTATTGCATATTGTTATGGAGACACAGAGCAGTATACCAGCCCTCAGTCTGCTGGGGAGACAGACACGTAAACAGATAAACAGAGAACTGTGATGAGTGAGAGAGGGGATGTGGCATGGAGGGCTAAAGCCTCCTAGACTGACAATTACCTGGGCTGAGTTATAAAAGGAAAGTCAGAGATAATCTAGGCAAAAAGGAGAGTGGGCATTCCAGCATGTGCAAAGGCATGGCCCCAGCAAAAAGACCCCAGGAGGCCTTTTTTTTGCCTGCTTTGGGTCATGCAGTATCCCTGAGCCTGGCTCCTCCAGGGAACTGACCAGCTTGCAGAGCAAGCCCACCCTGAATGAGGACGACAGGGCTCCAGAGTGGCTGGTCCCGCCTGAGCCATTGGTGTTGGTGATCAGTTCCCAAGAAGGAGTCCAAGACAGACAAAAAGTTACAGCTGAAAGCCACAAGCAGTGCAGGTTCAAGGGAACTGTTGTAGGCAGAGGGAGATGGAGAGGAAGCTGATGGGGGACGCACAGCACAAAGGTAGATGACACAGATATCTGCCCACCTACATCACCTTCTCCACGGGCACTCGACTGCAGAGGAAGCCGATGGCTGAACTGAAATATACCATTGCTGAGTGCAAATGCCAAGAGCAACAGAGAGAAAGGCAAGACCCTCAAATGATGGGCCAGAGAGGGGCTGAAGGAAGGCGGGAATAAATCTGGATTTTGCCTGTTAATTATGTTCAGTGCCCTTCTCACTCTCTGAAGTGCCCTAGTTTGGATGATAAATTATATGGTCGCCCGAGTTTTAAGTGATATATCGTGTAGTCTGGCTTGGAAAGTAAAGCCAGGAGAGGAAAAAACACAAGGACCAAAGCCCTGAAAGGGAGGACATGGTCAGAAACAGGGCTGTTAGGTGAGTTTAAAGTTTCAGATGTGGTGATCACAATGTCCAGGGGCTGGTGGCAGAAATGTGAGGCTGGTATTCATTTCCTGGGGTCTGTGTTCCTCAAAATGATGACAGGGCCCAGGATGAAGAACAGGACTGAGTGAGCTGAAATGCAAGTCCAGCGAAGCCTCTAACCAGGCCCAGAGAGTGGCCAGAGGGTTGGCCTGATGACGGGAGGGCAGGGGTCCTCCCAACTACCGAGTGCTCAGTAGGTGCCAGACACGCCTCTTCAAGTTCCACGGCTGAGGGGCCATCTGCCTTGTCCTTTGTGGTATCCTCTGTTCTTGGGAAAATATCTGGGGCTGTGTGAGCTCAGTAAATGTGTGTTGGATGAATGAAGAAAATGCTTTGTCTCTGGAAATTCTCAAGTATCTAAGAGAAGGGTTTTACTCCCCCCTTTCATGGATGAGGAAGTAGGCTCGGAGGCATCGATGAACTTGTCAGTTCCCTACAACTAGTAAATGGCAAAGGGAGAACTCCAACTCGGATCTGTCTGAACTCCAAAGCCCACATCGTTTTTTGTTTTGTTTTGTTTTGCAGCTGGCCAGTACAGGGACTGAACCTGGACCTTGGTGTTATCAACACTGTGCTCTAACCAACTGAGCTAACTGGCCAGCCCATAGCTCACATCATTGATCACTACAATATGTTAGTATGGGTGGTCAAAACGAGACCCACAATAATTTATTTCTCTGTGTGTGTGTATACACACATATCTATTTATTTATTAAGAGCTTATTATATGCTAGGCATTATTCCAAATGCATTACTTATACTTAGTCCTTCCAACATTTAATCCCCAGTTTACAACTGTTATTATCCCCAGTTTATAACTAAGGGAGCTGAAGCACAGTCTTAAATAACTTGCCCAGGCAATCTGGTCCAGAGCCCATGCCCTTAATCACTATGGTTTGCTGTCTCTCAACTTGTCAATGAATTTGTGTGCATGTTTACAAACAGTATGATTTAGTTACTTCCTATGAATTCCTTTGCTTATAAAATCTAAATTTCAGAACCATGCTCAAGCACTGAGTTAACTCTAGCTGAATCCAGCAGAGGGTTCTGCTGTGGAGTTGGCCAGTGGAGTAGGTCGACTGACGGCCTGTTACAGAGTCAACACACACACAAATGGCTATAATCTGATGCAACATGCTCTGAGGGTCTTAAGAGAGATACAGCAAAGCATTCTGGGAACACATATGAGCAAGATTGAAACTAGAAGAAAAGGAAGGACATTGAAAAGGACTGTAGGAGATGGTTATGTGCCTCAGAGAGTGTGAGATATGGCAGAGGTCCCAAGGAAAGTGTTCCCTGGGGCCATGTCTGGTGGAGATAAACATCCACAGAGTGGGGCAGCCCAGATCCACAAGGTTGCCAGGAACTTCTGTGAAAGCACAGGGGGTGGAGGCACTTGATGAATTCCCAAGATTCTTTTTTTGCTCTCACAATTCATTAAAGGAGCTGCACTTAGCTTTGAGTTCAATATACTACAAAAAGCACATGAAATGTTCCGTTTCAGACTTGCACTCCTACCCCGGTGGAGCGCAGGCCCTACAGGGGAGAAGTCATCACGTTGAAATCCAGAGGGACCGAAGACGACTCCACAGCTGGGACCAGGAAACAGGCCCACTCCTGAGCTGGGTGCTGATGGTAAGGGACAAGGGAAAAGAAAGGGTTTCTGCACGACAGCGTATGAAGTTAGCATCTCTCTATTCATATGCGTTTGAAGAGACCCAATTCAAGGCTTCAAATTGATGTAAGACTCAAGGACAGTTGAGCCAAGGGAAGACGGGGAAAAGACCTGTTGATGCAGAACCCCTGGGTGAGCCTTCCAGATTGAAGAAGGCCTTGGGCTAGCTAGAGATTCCTTCCCTGAGGTTCTGGAAAACGTTCAACAGAGCCCTGAGAATGAACTATGAGCAAGGCGTAGTAGGCTGGTCACATACTGAGGGAACTGTCATTGGACTGCTTAAGATATGGAGTGCAATTTTACGGTCAAAATTTTCTAATTTTTTAATTAAAACTTTATCTGGAGAAACTAATCTTCATATTGTAAATGCAACTATGTTCTAGAACTTTGAGTGAAAAATAAATCAAATCTTGCTTTTTAGGGTGTAATTTTTCAGGAAAATTATTTGATAACATTGATGTAGCTGATTTCACACTTAATCTTTAGAAAAATGTTATAGATATGGTCATTTTTTCAAAACTATTTGAGCACTTCATCAGTCTTATCTCAGTCTTTTGACATGCAGATCTTTCGTTTTTGAAGCATCTATTATCATCATCCTGGCCCATTTTTTTTTCCTTAGGTTGCTTTCTGGGGCTGCTCTCCAGACCCTTTTTGTCAATGGCTTTGCTGTGATTTTAGCATCTCTCTAACATTACTTCCACTGACTTCATGAAATCTGTATGTTTTGCTAGTTTTGCAATTTCACTAGACTCTGGATTCTTGTTTTTAAAATTCGTGGTATGTTTTTAGATGTTTCAACATGTAGCAGTCTGCAAAAGACTTACACGAGAGGTTCACTTAATGGACTGGGCTACACATTTGTTAATTCAGGGCACTGTTTGACAAAGGACTGGTTTTATACATACTCAGGCAATGCGCATTTTCACATTTTGACAACCTGCGCTTCCCTAATGTAAAGCCAGTGACTGCAGGGATTTGGATAATGAATGCTTGAATAGCAAAGCCCTCCATACAATGTGCTGTGCGCTTTCATTATGGAATGTTGTGAGTCTTTAACAATGCTATCTAGCCAGAAGTTTTAGCCTTTTTGTCATTTCCAGATGAGAGGAATTATTCTTCCAATCCAGGAAGTTTTTGTTAAAAATTCAGAGGATGATTAGCAAGAGAAAGAAATGCTATAGAATGCTATAATGTGCTATTAACGACATTGGCAGGAGGGGGATTAGTGCTGACTTTGATTATAGCATTCCTTGGGGGTTAGGCTGGAATTCTGCATCTCTTTGTGAGGGAGAGTGTTACACTGAGCTCCCTTTATTCTCTTCAAAGGTAAAATCAGAGGAAAGGATGCTGCTGTTCCATTCACAGTCAAACACTGTCAGCCCGTGGAGAACAGGCCTTATTTCAACTCCCCAAGATCCTTTAGAAAAAATAATCGCTCTAGGCCTTTTTGATTTTCTTTCAGAAGCAATTTCTGTCTTTCTCATGGTGCCTTTGTTGCTGTGTAAGATTGAAGATATAAATGAATATTATTGTGATGGAAAGTCTGTGAAAATTCATTGATGATACTTTAAAATGTCATCTTTGCTTGTACTAGATTTCTTACTTTGAGATTTTAAAAATCATTCTCTTGTTTAAAGGTCTTCTTTTTTTTTTAAAGTGGCTACATTTGTTTAAAAATAGCACTGTGATTTTACATTTTATTGTAATTAATAAACACAGATCTTCATTTTATTTCCTGTTATCTAAGTTATGTGTGTTTCCTTCTGACTAGTAGGACTGGGACTTTGAGAGGTTAGTTTTGATTAGAGAACATGACTTCCTGTGGGACATCTGCTTGGAAATCAGGTCCCTTGGTAAATCCCATGTAATCAAATCGATGTTCAACCTTAGAATAAATCCAAGGTAAATTATCCAATCACACTGATGAATGCAGGATTTGAGAGAATTAGATGGAATCAACACAGCTGAAAGATGCTGCACTAATACCTCCCTTCCCCTACACCTCCTGGACTGTGCAGAGAAGCTGAGACTGTATTTCTTCTCCTGGGTAACTAGGTCAAGAGGGACTTCTGAAATGTGGAGTGAAATCAGGGCTCTCACGGCAGTGCATCTGCCCCTGACATACTCAGATCCAGCTATATTTTCACATTTACCTAATTGTCATTTGTTTTGAACATGCAGAAGAAAGGACTGTGAGCTGTACCTGAAGAAGAACCTTCTAGTCAATCAAACTACAGATCTTTTTTTCTCAGGTTAAGAGATACCTTAAAACATTTTGTTATTTTTCTCCTCCACTTTGGTTGACAATGGAAACTCGACAATAGAACTATTGAATCTTCTGAAATTATTAAATTGCTTTTTTACCTAGAAGCTAATTCCCACCCATGCTTTAGTATTCAGCTTAAAGATCATTCCCTCTCAGAGGCTTTCCCAGATCCCACATAACAGTGTTAGGGTCCTCTTTTTGTTCCTCTGCAGCAGGACCAGCATCTACCCTATCACAGCACCTCATCCTTGGGTTATAATTACCTGCTTTACTTGTCTGTCTCCTCCAGACAGTGAAAGCTCATTCAAAGCAGAACCTTTCTGGTTGACTATGTAAGACCGGCCCAAAAGCACGAATCTTGACTTGATGGGAAGGCTCATCTCGCAAAGACCAGGAGGCAGAGATCGATGCACAAGCAAGAGGTTTTTATTTCTGGCATGCTGGAGGTCGCCCCGTTTTCAGGACAGGAGCAGCCCCGAGCTCTTAACTCAAGCATCTTTTATACAGTTTGGTAGGCAGGCTTTGGTAACAGGCTGGGTTGTACGCTGTTTATTGGCCACTTTAAGCAATTTTTAAAAAGCAAGAGGTTTTTATTTCCGGCATGCTGGAGGTCGCCCCGTTTTCAGGACAGGAGCGGCCCCGAGCTCTTAACTCAAGCATCTTTTATACAGTTTGGTAGGCAGGCTTTGGTAACAGGCTGGGTTGTATGCCGTTTATTGGCCACTTTAAGCAATTTTTAAAACCATTGGGCTTTTAGCTTTTGGCGGGCAAAGGAAAGACTGAGGTATTGACCAACGGTCCAACCCCCCCCTTTCCTCCCTTGGTGTCCAAAGATAAGGTGTCATGCTGTTCCTGCAGTCAGGTGAGCATACTCCCTTCCTGGGACAGGGTGAACTTTGGGCTCTTTGGAAAGTCCCTTCCCCCTGGCAGCGGAAAGTTCTAATCTGGCGACGGAAGGTCTAAAGCACCTGGTAATGGAAGGTCCTAAGTATCTGGTATTGTTTACCAAAAAGGTTGGGGGTTATCTCTACTTCCACAACTATTATTCCCTCAGCATCTAGCAAAGTACATGGCAATTGATGAGCATTCTGTGGATATTTATTAATTTTTAAATAAAGGAGGAAGTTCCTGCCAAATTCTTAAATTGATATACATGAAGTTAGTGAGAAGTCTCAAGAAAACAGGGACAAACTTTGTGGAGTATTTCAGTGTTAAGGTTGCTTTAAGTGGAGAGCACAGGTCCATTATCTATTTGATAGATCTATTTGGGAGAATGAAATAGCTATAGGATTCTGCATCAACAAAGTCATTTGAAATGAATATGGGAATCCCTTTGTTGCTTTTATTAGGTTTTGTCACCAATGTTTTTGTAGAGAAATATTTCTTTTTTTTTTAAAATGATAATATAAGGCAATGGCAAAACACAATTTAAATTATGAATATTTAATACCATATTTTCCAAGATTGCCTCTGGCATACAAAGTAAGAGCTCTTTGTCACTAAACAATTGCATTTTCAAGGTCTGTAGGAAGCATAGGCAAAATGAGTGACCTCCCTTCTCCACAGTCACCTTTCACCGCCTACTTCCTCCACTGGGTAGCTTGATGTACCAGGAGAAAGCGTAGGCCCTTAACCTGCTCCTCTATTTACTAGTTATGAAGTCTTGAGCAATTTTTAAAATTAAAATGTATTGTGAAATCACCAAAACATACAAAAAGCATAAAAATTAACATAATTATACCTATGAACCTATCACCCTGTTGAAGGAATAAAACCGTAATGGCTAGATTCCTTCTCCTTCCCTTGTCTAAATCCTTGTTGTTGTTGTTTTTATCGTTGTTTTAATTGTGTTAGCTAATATTTACCTGTGAGTTTTATCCGGAGTGTGTTAAGGGTTAAATAGCTAAATGCATTTCTGCACTCTATAGCTCTGTGGTCACAAGCCTGTTCCCGTGTTAGCAAGAAACCACAGACTGCCAGCTGTTTCCAAAGACCCCTCCTCAAGTAACCACACTTTCTGCCCTTGCACCCAGGTGTGATAAAGACCCTTACCCAAAAAGCATCTTTACCTAGTTTTAACTCATAACCACGGTAACCTAGTGAACCATCTGTTAGAAGACCTCCGATTTGGGGGACTCTGCCTGAAGACAAGCAGAAGAGCCAATAGAAATGCTTGCTGCTTACCTACCCAAGGAGAGTATAAAAGCCTCGTCCTCCCTGTAATCGGGACTCGGGGCTTTAGAATTCTAATCCCCCTGAGTTAGCCGGCTTAATAAATCTGTGTACTCCGCTCTCTTTGAGTGACTGAGTGTCATCGGTGACACCCTTCTGTAACAAAACTACCAACACAGTTGAAGTCCCCTGTGTTCCTCTCCCCAGTCTTTTCCTCTTCCTCCCCCAAAGTAACCAGTATCCTGAGTCGGGTGTTTTATTCCCACACACATCTTTTGTACCACTGCTACATATGTTCATACTTCTAAGCATGGTTTTGTATGGGTTAAATCTTATAAAAACATTATAAAGCTTGCATTGCTTTTGATCCCTGTTTTTTGTAGTCAACATGTTTGGGAGTTATTTGTGTTGATAGGTCTAGCTCTAGTTTTTTATTTCATTGCTACAATAGTATTCTATCATATAACCCCACCACAGTCTAGTTACCCATTCTGTTGTTCAACAGACTTTTACTTTGTTTCTATTATCTTGCTATCAAAACAACACTACTATAGGCATTTTTGTACAGATTTTCTTATATGCCCATGAGAGTTTCTGTAGAGCACATGCCTTTGGTATAGAAGAGTGGAACTGATGGATCCTAAGGGATGCACATTCTCACTTTAGATACTGGCAAACTGTTCTCCCGAGTGGTAAATTATGCCCTCAGTAACAGCATGAGTTTCTGGTGTCTGTTGTTGGAGTGAGCAGGACTGAAGCCATTTGAGACCTAAAACCGTGTGGGCTTTAGGGAGATTTTAAAAGATACAGTTTGTTTCTTGGCATGCATTTCTCTGAGTTCCCTCTTTTCCCATGGTTATTTGGTATTTTGAAACTTAGTTATGGAGCAAGATGACATTATTTACATGAATGTAAAGTTGTTTTCCCGCAAGCCTGGAGCTGTGGACTTGCTACAAGACACGTACTATCCAGACCCTGAGAAACCAAGGAAGACATCAATAAAGCTGTGCTGATTCCACCCCGAAGCAAATCCAAATCCTGCAGGATGCTGAGACATCAAGGATGAGAACAGAAGCCAGACGGAGCCTTGGCGGGCATTTGCACCGGCCCCTCTCACGTCCCCTCCCTCCTGCTTTCCACTTCCCACGTTCCATTCCCTCAAGTCCCTCTAAAAGCCCCTCAGTAAACCTGACTCTTTGAGATGGCTTTAGCCTGGCCATCCTCCTTCAGGTTTACAGAGCAATGGGCTAGCTTCACATCTCTCCTCAGGTCACTGGCATTCCTGAGTAAACGCTGACTTCCATTCTCACCAACACCGGACTTTTGAGTGGTTTGTTTTTGTTTGGGGCAGGCAGCTGGACTGAGGTTCAATAAACAGATCTGGAGAGCCTAAGCCAGGAGCTGAACACCCTGGGTTCTGAAACAGATTTTGGTGAGCCAAGCCAGGATTTTTGTACAGGGCAGGCAGCCAGACCTGAGTTAGGTAACACTGTCGCTTTATATTCTCACCAATATTAGATATTGTCCAGTTTATTAATTTTAGCAATCTGACCCATGTAAAAGATACCTTTTTTTTTTGGTGGCTGGCCAGTCCGCCAGGATGGAACCCTGGACCATGGTGTTATCAGCACTACGCTCTAACCAACTGAGCTAACCTGCTAGCCCCAAAGGTATCTTATTGGAGTCTTAATTTACACTTTCCTGATTGCTAATGAGGCTGAGCTTCTTTTCATTGTGCAGTTTAATTGACCTTACTAAACCTCAGTTTCTTCATTTATAAGAGAAGAATGGTGATGGTGTCTTCCCAGTAAACAAGGATGCTGTGAGGGTTACCAAGCCCAGACTGTATGCTCAGCAATTGCTAGCTATGATTACTGTGATTACTATGTTAATGGTGATATGATAGCTAATAAATGATGTGCTACCCAGAGACAGCCAAAATCATGACTGTTCTCTTTGTGAAATTCATGCTGGGTAGAGCCAGCTCCTTTGGCAGCCACAGAAGCATGAAAGCCAAGAATGGGAGTGTGGAGTGATCCCACAAGGTAAACCACAAAAAAAAGCAGTTGATCCACCTTTTATTAAATACCTTTTATTGTGAGGGCGGCCCCCTCCTCCAGAAGCAGGCAAGAACCAGAGCACACCCTGGGTCCTAGGCAGGAGCCCAGGGCAGCATCGCCTGCCTGGAAGCAGGCAAGGAGCATGCTGAAAACACCA